CCATGCTGGAACTCGCGGCCTCTTCTTTGTCTCCCTCCCTCATCGAGACATGCCCAACTCGGTCAGCCAGGCCTGGGCTCGAAGGTGTCCGAACTCGTTTGCGCCCGCCACCTCTCGGCACAGCGCTCTGGTCCGCCATCTCCTCCTGCAGGGTCTCCGTCTGCTCCTCCAGAATCTGGTTACCGTGGAGCATCTGGTGGTGCATCTCCCGCCGATCTTCCTGAACTTGCGGCGAATCATCACCTACAGGTAGTGCTGCCATCGTCACATCTTGTCCCTGCACTTCCTGGGGTTCAGCTGCGGTCCCAGCATCCGTGCTTCCACTCGCTGTTGAGCCGTGCGGCATCCGGTGGTACATCTTCCGCCGATCTTCATGTCCTTGCGGCGGATCATCACATACAGGTTGCGCTGCCTCCACCACCTCTAGTCCTTGAGCCTCCCCGGCTTCAGCTGTGATCCCTGCTTCCGTGCTTCCCCTCGCCGTCGAGATCTCGGCGTGCTTTTCCAGGATCTGGTTATCGTGCAGCAACTGGTGGTGCATCTCCCGCCGATCTTCATGTTCTTGCGGCTGATCATCGCGTCCAGGTAGTGTTGTTGCCGCTACATGTGTCCCTTCATCCCCAGGGACCGATGGCATCGAAACAGGCAGGGGACTCGGCAAAATGCCCAGTCCTGCATTCACTGATGAAGTGGCCTCCATCACAGGAGCGTTCGCAGTGCAAACTCGCTGGTCGTGAGCTGCCTCCATCTCATCTTGTCCATGAGCCTCCCCGGCTTCAGCTGTGATCCCAGCTTCCGTGCTCCCCCTCGCCGTTGAGATCTCGGCATGCTCTTCCAGAATCTGGTTATCGTGCGGCAGCTGGTGGTGCATGTCCCGCCGACCTTCATGTTCTTGCGGCTGATCATCGCGTACAGGTAGTGTTGCTGCCGCTGCATTTGTCCCTTCATCTCCAGGGTCCGGTGGCATTGAAACAGGCAAGGGACTCGGCAAAATGCTCGGTCCCGCATTCGTAGATGAAGTGGCCCCCATCACGGGAGCGTTCGTAGTGCAAACTCGCTGGTCGTGAGAGTCACGTTGGATCTCATCACCTGGAGCTGTCGTGTTATGGAGGTCGGGAGTCCCTTCGGGAGAACCCGCTGCCAGCGCCCAAAGCGCGGCAAGAGTCACGAAGTGTTTCATGGCGAAAATCAAGGAGCACCGCCGGGGCTAGCTGCTCACTTGACATCAGGCGGAGGGCCTTCACAATTAGTCAGCATGACTCCCTTCTGTACACGAACACCGTGACTCCTCAACACGACACTCAAACAAAGCTAAAACACCGACCTAGGGTTCTCTAAGGCTCAGCTGTCTCCCCGACGCCCACGGCACATCTGACTCTCGGATCCACGTAGCTTCCAACTCTCTCCATCTTCTGCGATCATGTGCATGTTCACGCCATGGCCCCCCACACACACCGTCCATGAGCTTTTCAAGGTTGGTAATTCTAGGGTAGTGCTGTTTTTTCCGAAGTCGTTGAGAATAGGGGCGTTGCTGTTCCAAGCGCCACCACGAGAGAGTCCGGTAGTCCTCAACAAGGCTACTAGCAACCGGAACCGGGTGCAGCATCCCTCTGACCCGATGCCCAGCATACCGCCAATACCTTTGGGTCCAAGTAGTAGACCACCTCTGACACCCCGAGGAGTGAAGGACAGACCTTGCGCTACGAAAGGCCCGCTTCCTATACTCTTCCCAACTCTCCTCAGACCTCTTCCCCAACCTCAGCATCCACACAAGGATCTGCAATTGCACGGCATTAAGCATGCTCATCGCGGCTTTGTCGGGGCCGAAACACCCAATACACCACAACGCGGTAGCGCTGATCACCCTGTCCATCGTCCGGATTCTTGCTCTGGTGTTCCCCTTGGTCCGGAGTATGTGTTTCACCTCCCAAAATTTTTCCCTGGCCCTCGAAGCGAGCGGCGAAACTAATTCGTAGATGGTCTGCCCCACCCTGAGCTTGATGCCCATGACGTCAAGGCACTCAGACGC